CTTCCTTACTATTTATATTGTCGTTATTTTTACTTTGTTTTGTTCCTTTGTGTTGCATTTTCTTGTTGCTTTTGTAATGATCTTATTTCTTATCCTGTCTATGTATGGTATGTTTCTGTGGACACAGGGAAGCAATGCCACATATGTGTGGTTAGAAGACAGCTCACTGGAGTTGGTTCTCTCTATCCACCTTCTTCTTGTTCTTGCAGAGGGCCTGGGTTTCATCTCCAGTACTTGCCTAGTTACTCACAAGTTTCTGTAACTCTACTTCCAGGAAATCTGATATCTTCTGCCCTCTGTGGACATAAGGCACACATGTGTTACATATACATACATGTATATATGCTGGCAAAATACTTAGTTGCATAAAATAAACAATTGTTAATATACCTTATAATAACATTAAATATTAATGCAACATGACTGAGATTTATACAAATAAAAATATAAAGTAGAATCTCAATTCCTCACAAAGAATGTTAGGAAATGAATATACCTGTATATGTTTTAGTGAGCAATAAAGTATTTATAATATATTATATATATAGTTTAGCTTTGTGATGATGTATTATAATCAAACTTTAAGTAGACAAGTAGCTGTCATAGAAGTTTTGATTACAGAGCCTTCTCTGGAGCTAAGGAGATGGCTCAGAGACAGGGCATTTGCCTATATTAGAGAGGCCTTGGGTTTGTTTCCCAGTTAGGGGAGAAAAGAAGAAGGCGTCTCTGTGTATTATCACATATTAATATGCTATCAGAAAATGATCTCACCTACAAAGAATAACAGGGCTTTCTTTTCATTGATTATGCAGCACTCTAGTCCAGCTCATTCCTTTAAAACATATTTGCTATGCAAAACCAATCTCTAATAGACAGTGATTCACTTTTAACATTGTAGGTATCAGAAAATAATGACATCCTTTCACTCAGGAATTACCCAGAATGTCTTAGTAAAATCAGAACCTGCCAAACAACCACACTTTAGTTCTCTGTATCATCCTGAACCCACCCAAGAGTCCCTGTCACCCCCACCCACCAAGCCTGTATACAACAATGAGGCATCCGCATGACTCACCCAAAATGCACAGAGGCGTCGGATCTGATTCCAGTTCTGTTACCACTGCACTCAAGCCTTGCATCCTAATGTCCTATGTGCATAAAGAGCTGACAAGGAATTACACATCTCAGGGGTTGCCGGGGCATCTGAAAGGAAGAACTATACTCTTAATTTGTTGTTGGATTCCTGTTCTAAAGAGACTGGCATTTTAAAGGGATGCCTTGTTCATTGTTTCTGTCACAGAAACATTCCACTATTAGGCTTGGTTTCTCTAAAATCAATGCTTTTTAAAAGCATCCCAAATCAGCATGCTAACTGCATACTACAATTAGTAGTTGCTAGCTTCCCTTATGACTGAGGGCTGCTGAGATACTCTGTGTGATGGTGGTTGCAATATGGAAAAGATGTGGTATGATAAAACAAGTCATCTTACCGTACCAGACCATCAGGTCACTGCTGGAGTTCTAGAAATCTATGAAAATCTTTTCCAGAATGGAAATCATTCCATTCCCTCAAACAAGCGAGAATACTTTTTTGACTTAGGATAGTCCTGGTGGCCTTTTTACACATGCTGTCCTATCAGTGAAAATCCCCCTTTATTTAATCTTCCAAGGGCTCCTTTCTGTCTTTTAGGTCTTCTCCCAAATATTCCTTCCTGGAATGCGATCATTAAAATACACCAAACAAATGCGAGAGTAGTATGACCTCTGTCTGCAGAGACCAGATCATGTGACCATGGTCAGGAGACAGGACCTTTTCCGAACTCAAAGAGAGAACCACTGATATATTTTATTAGAGGGGAGTGAGAAAATGTCATCCATTTTAGGAATATGGAAAAAGAACTCACAGAAAAGAGGAACAGAAGCAAAGAGAGCAGATAGAAACTAGTATATCCGCCTGGCCTCCCAAGGAGCCAGGGATGACAGAAGATTGGGATGAATTTGTAGTGTTGGCACCCAGAATCAATGGGAATTGCTTACAGATCCAGTGAAGTCAGAAATAAAGATATATGCACTCACTAGCATATATCAAAACATGTGCATATACAATTGATTGAAATAAAATCCTTTTTGATTATTTTGAAAAAAAAATAGTAGTGCATGGGAGGTATATAATATGGTTCAGCAAGGAAAAGAACTCCAGGACAGCCAGAGCTACACAGAAAAACCCTGTCTCAGCAAGAACTTTAAATCTTTAATGAAAGAAATTGAAGAAGACACCAACCATAGAGTGGAAAGATCTCCATGCTCTTGGATAGGTAGAATTAGCATAGTAAAAATGGCAATCTTAGCAAAAGCAATCTACAGATCCAAAATCCCAGCAAAATTCTTCACAGATCTCAAAAGAATGGTACTCAACTTCATATGGAAAAACAAAAATATAGCCGAAACAGTCTTGTACTATAAAGGAATTTCTGAGGGCGACACAATCCTTGACTTCAAACTCTACTATAGAGCTACAGTGCTGAAAACAGCCTGATATTGGCATAAAAACAGACAGGAGGACCAATAGAATCAAATCAAAGATCCATATATCAATCCACACATCTATAAACACCCGACTTTTGACAAAGAAGCAAAAAAATATCAAATAGAAAAAAGAAAACATATGTAACAAATTGTGCTAGCATAACTGGATATCAACATGTAGAAGAATGAAAATAGACCTATCTCTATCACCATGCACAAAACTCAAGTCTGAATGGATCAAAGACCTCAACATAAAACCAACCACACTGAACCTCATAGAAGAGAAAGTACACTTGGACACATTGGCACAGGAGACTGCTTCCTAAATATAACTGCAGTAGTACAGACACTGAGAGAAATAATTAATAAATGGGACCTCTTGAAACTGAAAAGCTTCTGTAAAATAAAAGACATGGTCAACAAGACAAAACAACAGCCTACAGAATGGGAAAAGATCTTTATCAATCCCACATCAGACAGAGGGTTGATCTCCAAAATATACAAAGAATGCAAGGAATTGATCACCAAAAGAATAAATAATCCAATAAAAAAATGGGGTATAGACCTAAACAGACAACTCTCAACAGTAGAATCTAAAATGGCTCAAAGAAAGTTAGGGAAATGCTCAGCATCCTTAGCCATGAGAGAAATGCAAATCAAAACAACTCTGAGATTCTATCTTACACCTGTCAGAATGGCCAAGATCACAAACACTGATGACAGCTTATGCTGGAGAGGATGTAGGGTGAAGAGAACACTCCTGCATTGCTGGTGGGAGTGCAAACTGGACATCAGTATGGTTATTTTTTAGAAAATTAGGAAATAACCTACCTCAAGACCAGCAATATACTTTTGGTTATATACCCAAAGGATGCTCAATCATACCACAAGAACATGTGCTCAGCTATGTGTGTAGCAGCATTATTTGTCATAGCCAGAATCTGGAAACTACCTAGATGCCCCTTGACTGAAGAATGGATAAGAATAATGTGGTATGTTTACACAATGGAGTACTACACAGCGGAAAAAATAATGACATCTTGAAATTGGTGGGCAAATGGATGGATCTTGAAAACATCCTATTGAGTGAGGTAATCCAGACCCAGAAAAATAAATATCATATGTACTCACTCATAAATTGCTAGTAAACATAAAACAAAAAAAAACCCAGCTTATAATTCACAATCCCAGAGAACCTAGACAACAAAGAACACCCTAAGGGAGACATAAATTGATCTAATCTATATGGGAAGTTGAAAAAGACAAGATCTCCTGAGTAAATTGGGAGCATGGGGATTACGGGGGAGGGTAGAAGGGAAGGGGAGTGGACAAAAATATATAGCTCAATAAGAACAATTTTAAAAAAAAGTATATGCTCTACTTACAAACTAAAAAGAAAAAGACTCTGTCTCAGAAGAATGAAAGGGAGGGAGGAAAAGGAAACAAAGTGAGGGAGGGGAGAGAAAGAAAGAGAGGGAAGAAGAGGGAAAGAAAGACATAGAAAGAGAAGACTGAGAACAAGAAGGAAGAAAGAGAAAAGCAGAGAAAGAGAGAAAGTAAGAGAGAGAGAGACAAAGAGAGAGGAGAGAGAGAGAGAGAGAGAGAGAGAGAGAGAGAGAGAGGAGAGAGAGAGGCTAAGACTAAGACAATTTCATTTACAATTGCTGCCAAAGATAAATTTCACCAAAAGCTTAAGGCCATATACACAGAAAATTTTAAGCTTTAGTGAACTGATGTTAAGAAACCACTGCTCCTTTTCAAACCCACTGTAACATTAGTCCAGCTGAACAGCTTCTGCTTTCCAAAGCCCACTGGAGATCCCTTTATCACTTCTGCCTTTTAGCCAGAAGGATGTGTACATTCTTCAAAGCTTTCAATATGGCAGCAAACCCCAGGTAAGCCATCTTCCATGCTGGTACCAGTCAGACCCCTTCAAACCCTTCAGTGGGTTACTTGACCCCATTAGAATTTTTAAACAGCTCTATGTCTTGTTTCAGTTGTTTGTATAGGTCTTGCCTCTTTTACTATGTTATAACTATCTCAGGACAAAAACTATGTATCTTTCGTCGTTGTTCCCCTGCAAATCATAAAACATATCTTGAGTATATGAGGCTTTAAGAAAAGGCCAGTGATGAACAGTCTTAATTAGAATAAATCATTGTTCGGCGTACTAGCTTGTAAATTCACAGGGTTATCTCTTCTAGGTTAGTGATGATGATCTTAACCAAATTAATTTCCTTTGAGTGCACATAGACAATCCGGAAGACTGTATTACAAGGGAGGACCAAATATTCCTTCCCTTGAGCAAAGAGAGGTTCTATGGTGCATCATGAAAAATCAAAGCACGGTAATAGATGTGCCAACAAGACTTCTCAAGTCATGGTTTAGTGGAAATAGTGTTTTGCCTCCTAGTCCTAGGTCCTAACTTCCTTCTCAAGTACTTAAACTGGCTGTTCTGTTGGCTTTGTTTCTAGATTACACTGACAACCATTGGCTATGGAGACAAAACGCCCCTAACTTGGCTGGGAAGATTGCTCTCTGCAGGCTTCGCACTCCTTGGCATTTCTTTCTTTGCACTTCCTGCTGTGAGTATCTTTGCAACATGAAAGCAGCTTCAATTGGGCCCTCAAGGCTTCCTGGAGTGAGCCCTCCACACTTCTGTGTTCATAGGAATGGATCTCTCTCATTGACCGATAGGATTCTTCCAATAAAACGTTGACTTTTCTAAAAGCATCCAGGTATATGGTGGAGAGAATATGGACCAGAGTCTTCATACTGGCTAACTCTGTATAAACAATAATTCAGATTCTCTTGGTCAACATGCCACTAATACATTTGGAATGTTTAGGAAGATTTAAAGATAGTTTCATTTGAATTAATTACTGCAATTGGCTTTATAATATACACAAATGGAAAGATGGATGTGCATACTAGTTCATTCCTCTTCCCGAACACTTGAATGAAAAACATCTGACCTTAAGTCTTGTAAATGTGTCAGATGATTTATTCCTGTGTCACAGCCATTGATTTTTTTTTCTTAATGAGCAGTTTCTGCATTTCATCAGAATGAAAAACACATTTATCTCCCTCCAAGCTTCTGACTAGTTTTTCTTCAATGGACGAAGCTGGACTCTCTGGTAACTTTAGCCTCTTGTTTCATTAATGGACATGACATTACCGTTTACCTCTTCCCTCCGGACATCGTTTTTGTCCGCTCCATCTAAGCTGGGCATTAGGAAGCCAACAGTAAAGAGTGAGAGTCCAGCCTCAGCAGGAGCACCTAAGTAAAACAGTCTCATTCTGGCTCCAAGCTGCAGGCCATGCCATGTGCAACCTCTGTCAGACTGAAACCTGAGAACATGCCAGAGAAAGCTGAGCACTTGGAGGTCAGACGGGGATTTTCGGTACCCAAGACTTTAGCTCTCAGTGCTTCTTCTATGACTGCAAGTGACCTCAGAGGGCATGCTTGTTCTTACCACACTCAGGGATCACTCTTGACTAGCCCAGACCACCCAAAGCCATGGCAAAGGGACTGCCCAGCCTGTGCCCAGACTTGTAGAGTGCACCTCGGTTTGAGCGACATTTATCACTTACTATGTAACACTCTATATATTAGTTTGAGCGACATTTATCACTTACATATATCAATTATGTAATGCTCTACATATTAGTGTGCTAGGAGTGCCATGGCAGCATACCACAGACTGTAGGTCCTCAACCGTAGAAGTTCCTCTTGGGAGTTCTTGAAGGCTAGATATGCAGATTCTGATCCAGATATTAGCAGGGTTAGGCCCTTCTGAGAGCCTGGAGAGAGAGAATACCATTCCAAACCTCAGTCTTTGTGGTAGAGAGTGTCTTTACAACATTTATATCTAAATTATCTGGTAAGGACATCATTTGTATGCTTAGGACCCATGCTAATGCTGTCACCCTAACCCCAGATGACCTCTGGTGAGGACCCTCACTATCTTCAAATAAGTCACATTCTAAAGTCCAAGCAACACGTGAACTTGAGGAGACACAATTTAGCTCAGTGATTTTTTTTTTTTCTAATATGTTTCTTCCTTGAAATAATGAAGGAAGAATTAAGTCCAGACAAGTACTGGGCAGAACAATGTGATAATGTAAATCAAGTGATTAATATGCAGAAAACAAAAACACTTCTCTTCATTTGCAAAACTGTAGAAGTGTGTGGTGCAGGCCTTTAATCTCAGAGGCAGGCAAATCTCTGAGTTCAAGGCCAGTCTGGTCTACAGAGAGAGTTCCTGGACAACCAGGGCTATGCAGAGAAAAACCTGTCTAGAAAAATAGCAACAACCAAAGTTTCCTGATGCAAAATGGTAATATAAGACAGATCGGGAGCAGAGTTTCCCACATCCACATCTTGTAGTTGTGTGATGTGTTTTATTTTGTTTTTGGAGACAGGGTTTCTCTGGGTAGCCCTGGCTGTCTTAGAACTGGCTCTAGCCTGGTCTACAGAGTTCCCACCCCCAGTCCAAAGTCAGTTCCTATAGCTGGCTCAACAATCCAGAAAAGAACAGAGAATGGATCATCGGATTCCCTGCAGGAAAATATCTTTGGAAACAGTGAAATACAATCTTGGGTTTATTCCCCAAAAGTAATGGCATAGAATACCTGCTGTTTTTATTTCACAGAGATAAATGGGCTGTAAAATAGAAGCCAGCATAACAGATACTGCATGGGAACAGGTGTTGGAAGACTAACAGCAAGGGCAGGAAATGCAAATCTACAAGAAGCAAGCAGAGATGAGTGTTCAAAGTGTGTGAAGACTTGGGGGTCAGTTAGAGTCAGAGTCAGGCCCCCTCTGTGAAACGCAAGGATCCTATAATGAAACTCTGAACCTTCCAGGGAGGTCAAACTATGTTTTTATGTGAGGTTACAGATCAGAGGCTAAGCAGTCATTCACAGAAATGTTTCCAATAAAACGTTGCCATTTTTATATGCAAATTAAGTTAATCTATGTTAGTAAAATATGTTTGCACTAAACAGAACATTTCCTAACAATGCCAAGAAACGCAGCCTTGTGAACCATTTGATCGCGGTCTCCTGAGTTGTCATTTTGTCTTCTATTCCTGCTAACAGTACAGCCTGATTGAAATTTTGAGAGCATTTTGAGAACATTTTGCTGGGAAAGTGTCCTTGTTAGGGTTACTATTGCTGATTAACCATGACCAAAAGCACCTTGGGAAAGAAAGGGTTTATTTTGCTCACTCACAGAATGCATAACTGTTGATCACCAAAAACAGTGAGGGCAGGAACCTGGAGGCAGGAGCTCATGAAGAGGCTGTGGAGGGATGCTGCTTACTGCCTGGTTCCCTAAGGCAGAGCTTGCTCTCTGCTTTCTTATAGAAGCCAGCACAGCCCGGGGATAGCACCACCCATAACGGACCGGGAAGTCCCCATTACTCACTAATAATTATGAAAATGTCCTACAAGCTTCTCTAGAACCCCATCTTCTGGAAGTATAATTAATAGAGTTTTCCTCCTCTCAGAGGTCTTTAGCTTGTATTAAATTAACAAAAAGTTCTTCAGCACAATTGACCCCTTGTCAACTTGACACATAAACAACTCCGCATTAAGCCACAACCTTTCCTTTCTTATTCATCCGCAAGATTACACATTAATATTGATATCACAATATAAAATATCTTCAAACTTAAAAGTGCTATAGTCTTACAAATTCAAGCACTTTGAAACTTCAGTCTCTTTTAAAAGTCCAACATCTGTTTTAAAATCCAGAAGATCTTAACTGTAGATGCCTATAAAATCAAAAATAAACAAAATACTTTCTTACTTCCAGAGTGAAGAACCAGGGGATAGTCATAATCTGAACAAAACAAAATCAAATTGCAAATGTGTAAATAATTTAATAGCCAATGTCTGGGTTCCACTCATGATCTTCCGGGCTCCACCAAAGAGCTTGGGTCACTTCTCCAGCTCTGCCCTCTGGAACACACACATCTTGTCTTCTAGGGTCCAGCTGGCTCTACTCCACAGCTGCTGCTGGTGGTGGTGGTGGTCATCCCTTGGTACAACTGGGCTGCACTTTCGCCAGTAGCCTCTCCTGGGCTCTCTTTGGGGACTCCATCCTTGTCATACAGTGTCAACCCCTAGCTGTTCTCCATGACCATTCCATGCCTTCAAAACCAAGACCAACTGGGTGACTCTTACACTACCAAGCTTGGCTGTCAGGATGAGATGGAACCTTGGCTGACTCTGAGCAAACACTCCCTCAGGAGACTTTACCTCAAGGATGCTGGCCTCTTCTTAATCACAGCTGATCCTTCACTCCCAGCTGCTCAGCATCCATTGTCCCAACAAAGCAAAGGCTTCACTTCAGTAGCTCTGGTCCTCTTGTTAATCACAGCTGAGTCCTCAGCCGCAGATAACCAGGCCCCGCAGACTGTCCAGTAGAATCTTTGCCTCCTCTGAAACTTTAGAAGCCAGGCCTCAATCATCTGCATTGTTCCCAATAGTCTTATCTTCCAAGCTCCTATAGATCAGTTTATTGAGCTCTCAACGCTCAATGGGTTGTCTAGGCCAGAGTTCCACAGTCCTTTCCCAGTCCTCCCTGGAACAACACCGTCAGGTCTGTCACAGCAATACTCGCTGTCCTGGTACCAACTTCTTCTGTTCTGTTGCTGTGAAGAGATACCATGCCCAAGGCAATTCGTATAAAAGAAAGCATTTTATCAGGGACTTGCTTATAGCTTCAGAGAGGGTGAGTCCATTGTCACTGTGGGAGGGAGCATGGCGGGAAGTGTGGCACTGGAACAGCAGCAGAGAGCTACATCCTGATCCCCAAGCAGAAAGAAAGAGAGTCTGGGCCCGGCATTGGCTTTTTCAACCTCACAGCCCACCCCCAATGACACACTTCCTCCAACAAAGGCCATACCTTCTAATCCTCCAATAGTGCCTCTCCCTGATGACTACGCCCTCAAATATAAGAACCTATGGGGGCATTCTTACTCAAACTACCACAAGAAGGTTGAAGAGGATTGTAAGCCTTTCCTCTTTGAAGGTCCTGCAGCCAGGAAACTCAGTGATCACAGTTTCCTGTGTTACCTTGACAACAAAAGGTCTCTGTTGCACCTTACAGGTTCAACAGGCCACTTATCCCAAGCTCCACTGTAGCCCACCCCTCTCTAGCTCCCTCCATTCCTAGGCTACTGAGCTTCTTCAGGCCAACCTGACTTCTTCATAGCAACCTTACATGCTGATCTTACTCCCTCCTCCCACTGGATACCCTAGCTATGAGTGGCTTTTATTATGAAGAAATCGACCTTTATGGAGATTGAATTCTTTTACATATCCAGCGGGTTTAACTCTAACACAACTGCATCTGCTTGACTTGAAATGTTAATTATTCCACAAACACTTTTGCTACTATCTTCAATCATTAAAAATATTAGCAAAAATATTTGCAATATTTGTTAATATATTACAAATACATTTTAGCCAGGCAGTTGTGGCGTGTGTCTTTAATCCCAGCACTTGTGGCGCGCATCTTTAATCCCAGCACTTGGGAGGCAGAGGCAGGTGGATCTCTGTGAGTTCGAGACCAGCCTGATCTATAAGAGCTAGTTCCAGGACAGGCTCCAAAGCAACAGAGAAACCCTGTCTCAAAAACCAAAACAAAAAAAAATATAGATAGATAGATCAATAGATAAATATTAATATGTTACAAATATGAACAAATATAAACAAAAAAGATAGCAAAATATGAACAAGCATCAAAAGTCAGCACAGTTTGGTTGCCATGTTGAGGGTGCAAACTGCGCTCCTTAAAGTTGAGTGATAAGGAGAAGTAAAAATTTTAAATTTTTGTCAAGGTATTTTTTTCCCCACTTGGTATTTATGTCACATTTATTAGTCTAGAATCAAACATTAAAAACTAAAATTTTAATTCTTGTTAGTCTAAAAAAATTAGTGAAAATCACTTTTGTAAGATTTGCTTCTACCAAGGGTTGGGGAATGAATGAGATCAAGATAGATTATGTGGAAAACACATAGAATAAATGAATTTTATAAAAAACCATTTTGCACCTAGTGTTGCCAGTATTTGGAGAGTTGTGTACATATTGAAAGATGAAACCATGTTACATCTGTCTGTGTTTATGAATCATGACTGACCGGCTTAGAGACACTGAACTGCATGTGACTAGAAGCAGATGCAGACATAACGAGACAGCGAGCAGAGTTGGCTAATAACTGCTGGAACATATAGACATTTAGAAAACAGTCACCAGTTCTAAGAAATGCCAAGTGATTTTCAGAACATTTTATCTTGCTTTATAGATATTAAATTGTACTGTGTAGGACCTGCATCCATTTACAAAAGGAAAGTAACTTTCATACACTGTGCTCAAAAATGATAGCTAGTGCCGTTAACCCAGTGTCTATAAAAACCTGAATTATGTTCAGTGCAAGTAATACACAAATATTCACTCTATAGGTATAATACATATCATAAAGATATTTTTATTCTCTCCTGTGTGTTTATGCTTAATGGGAAATGAAGTTAGAGGAAAAATCAGGCAGTCAGTCAGTCTTTCCCAAATAGCCTCATTTAACTAAAAAATAAAAAATAAAGGATTTGGAAGAGGAGAGCATTTGTGATACCAACTGGGGGAAAGATTATTTAAATCTATAAGCTAGACCATCCAAAAGCAGGTTTTTATAAAGCTTAGCTTGTGTAATCACAGCCTGTATGAGATGGAGACATGAAACTATACTGAAGGCAGAGATGGAAAACAGAACCCATGATTTAATTGCTCGTTTCAGGGCACAGTTATTTATCTTAATTAATAATAGTGGAGGGCACTGCATACTAGTAGCAAATGGTATTATTCTACAATTCTGTATTTTAAACATGATTGCTTTGTTTACTGTCTGGTTATTGTCACCAATGGGCTTAGAATTGTGAAATCTCAAGATAAGATGAAAGGCTACCTAAAGCCCCGAAATATCTCAGCAGAGATGTCCCATGGCCAAGACTTAATGCTTCCTAGAGATAAACAGAAACCCTTTTCCAGGAGGTACCATCTTTTACCTGATAAAGGGTGCACATTGGGCATTTCTTACCTGCAGAAGATACTGACTTAGAGATACCTATCTCTAACTTAAGGGTGAGACTCCTGGAAGCTTAAAAAAAGGCTAATAATTTATAGATAGCAAGCAAAATGGACAGACCTGAAAGCAGTAGAGCTCCCAGTGTCGTGCTAATGAAGTCAAGAGCATAGACAAAGACTGGATTTAGCAAGCTCTGAATGTGAACAAAATGTTGAGACAAAAGGCATCTTGATTTCACAAATGCCAAACCTACACAAACAGAAAAGAGACGCAAACATCAAAGAACCAGAATTTTTGCAGTTCAAGATATTAAAAATGAAGCCAGGTGGTAGTGGTGGTGCATGCCTTTAATCTGAGTCCAGGCAGGAAACAGAGGATCTCTGTGAGTTCAAGGCCAGCCTTGTCTACAGAGCCAATTCCAGGACAGCCAGGACCATACAGAGGAACCCTGTCTCAAAAAAACCTAAAAATATTAAAAAAAAATAGTAAGTGAAAAGAAATCAAATTAGCAACAACAACAAAACACCTGGGTTTAGAAATGACTCAGCAGTTGAGAACACGTACTATTCTCGTAGAAGACCTGGATTCAGTTCCCCAGCACCCATACCGAGGAACTTGGCAACCACTCTCATCTTCGGTTCCAGGAGATCTGACTCTGTCTTCTGAAATCCTCTTACCTGCATACACGCATGCACAAACACATACTTTAAAATACAATAAATCTTTAGAAGAACAAAAAAAAAAACCAAAAACTGAGGAAGGTACGTTAATCTCACCAACCACAAATTTCAAATAGGTGAACCAAACGAAAAACTAAAAGAAAAGAAAAGAAAAGAGAGAAGTAAGACATGCTGAAAGCACCATATTAAAACTGAGGAAAGAGGAATAGGTTTTTCAAGGAGTCATGCTTTGTTTGGTTGTTTGGTTGTTTGGTTGTTTGGTTGTTTGGTTGGTTGGTTGGTTGGTTGGTTGTTGGTTGGTTGGTTGGTTGGTTGGTTGGCTGGAGGTTGGTTGTTTTTTGTTGTTGTTGTTTTCATACAGATGGGCAAAACCTACAACTCCAAAACTGAGAATCCATCTTTAAGGTCCTCAGCTGGGATTGGTCTGAACCTCACCTCTATCCTCCCCAACTTTGTGTATGATGAATGTACCATCCCAGAGTCTTATCAGTGCTAAAAGTAGCCACATGTCTATAGCAGCAAGACTTTAAATCTCCCAAATTTAAACCCCAGTCCAGACCAAAGCAGAGTTCACACCTCTAAATTCTATCACTTAATATCACTTGAATTTAGTGATCATTTCTGTTCCTAATCAGGATGCTTCTTATAATACCAGAAATCAATTAATGATAATGTTCAGTTGATTTACTACAGAACAAGACTCATAATCTTCGGGCAGTATTACCCAACAGCTTGCTACTCCCTGGAAGTGTTAGAACAAAGTCATATAGGGTTTTTTTTATAAGTAACATGTTTATGGGCAACACATTACATAATGTTTGTCTTTTGTAGATTCATTTTAGAGATCTTTAAAATGGTATCATTTTGTATTTTGTTCCAGGGCATTCTTGGCTCGGGTTTTGCATTAAAAGTACAGGAACAGCACCGCCAGAAACATTTTGAGAAAAGAAGGAACCCAGCTGCCAACCTCATTCAGGTAAATGTCAGCGTGATGGGGAGATGGCCACATCTGTCTCCAGAAGTGCTTGCTTGGTCATTTTCTAGTTACCATGCTTCATTGCTTCCTAGAGTTACTTACTGTTCTGTGCTAAAAAAGAAACAAAAATAAAAAATAAAAAAATAAAGTCAAACCTTAATGAACAACCCAGAGTGTGAGCAGGTGTTGTCCCTCTCCCCAACAACAACAACAAAGTATGTTTTTCAGAAAATGGACTATGTGCTGTTCAGATTAATTAACCGTTACCACCAACCCTGTGCAGAGGTTACCAGTCCTGCCACTCCTGGAAGGACCCTAATTCACTTTATGAATCGCTGTGTGAAACATAATTGGTCATTAAGTGATGGAACAGAATGCAGCATCATTCCTGGAATTCCCATGACTCTCTAGCCGTTCTTTCCTTCTGTTGTGAAAACCATACACGGTTTAGAATGTTGAGGTTTAGTTCTGTGGAATTGCTTTTCATGTCTTGTAGGGACATGGCCTGAAGTGCACTAGATATTAGAGGAGATATATATATTAGATAATAAACATATTGTGTGAAGCTCGTTCATCATACATCAGGTTTGTGTTAGCATTTCATTTTCTTTCCAACAACCCAGGATTTGTGTTAACACTTTTCTAAAATATTTCACTTTCTAAACTATTTCTAAATATTTCTAAAATATATTTTCCCCAGATCGAGGATCTAAAGTGAACATTTCACAATGAACACGATAGTCCTGAAATCCCAAGTTATCTCCCCTCCTTAGAAGCAGCTGAAGCCCCAGACTTTGAACCTGGAGATGCTGGGATGCAAATAAGAGGGACTCTGGGAATTGTTTGCTGGCAAATGTAGCAAGTGCATTGCTTTAATTTAGATCTCAGCTTTGAGTGGCTGAACTATTTGGTTGTAACCTACTGTTAACCATCCAGTTAGCCTTTCCCTAGGTCTGTGTCATGCCTTGCTTCCAATAGAAATGGAGCTCTGAAGGGGAGGGGTGGTGAGTGTGTAGCTTAGGTCTATCCTAAAGGAAATCTGTAGCTGATGACTAAATTGGTTTTAAACAGAACGCTATTTTACAACCGCTTACGAGAAGCGGGCCATTGTGCGTGAATTGCAAGGCAAACCACTGACAGTCACTATTTTCCTAATGGTTTAAAAGAGAGATAAAGGCCAGAGAGATGGCTCAGCAGGGAAGAGCACTGGTTGCTCTCCCAGAAAACCCTGGTTCGGTTTCAGCACCCTCATGATTACTCAGGTCGGTCTGTAACTTCAGTCTCAGTAACTTGACACCCTCCACCGGCTTCTGCAGGCACCAGGCACCCACAGGATATACAGACATACATTCACGCATAGCACCCATACACATAAAAATAAATTAATAAAACTCTTTTTTTATAAGATGACAAAAACAGTAAAATTACTTTCTTGATGAAAAGGTCCTTAAGTTAATAGTAGCTTAAGCACCATAGCCAGGAGCTAGGAATGTAGTTTAATGATGAGGGCTTCCCTGACATGTATGAGTCCTTAGTTGAATCTCCAGTATTGAGAAGTCTGGAGCCAAGCAATGATCCTATAATGACAGAAGTGCACAGTACGGGCACAGAAAAGCCTCACCACTCTCCATCTCCAAACAGGCTTCACCGAGGCGCATGCTCTCAGATTTCTTCAGATTCGTCCTCTCTTTACTATCTTTACCTCCATCTTCCTTCACTCTAGAACAGCCCTCCAACCTGGGAGCGCACCATTTGTTCAAAGGGCTCCCAGAATCCCACTGAGCAACAAGCCCTGCTTATGTATAGAACCAATAAACCCTCTCCTGGATATTAAAGCTCCTAGAATCTGAGCTGTTCTGCTGAGAAGCAAACCTTTGCCAGCTCTCCTGTGTACATCAGCTGTGACAACACAGAGTCGTGCTGCCAATACAGTAGCCACCAGCTCCGCATTGCTATCAAAGCTAAGCGAAGTCAAGATTAAAAATTGATTTCTAGACATTTATTAAACGTTCGGTCCCTTTAAGGAGTCATGAGCTGCCATGGCACAGTGAACCTACTTCTAAGAAGCATGGCAGGGGCTTTCCTCAGCTGCTGTGTCCTTGTCAACTACTGAATCGTGAGGAACAGTTCTCAACTGAGCTTCAAAACAAATTGGTTTTCGTGCAGCAAATCATTAGAGAAGTGGAATTTATGTCTTGTCTCCAAAGTGAGGCAACCTATAGCAGGTGGAGATGCCAAATGAACAGTTTAGCTGAGAGGCCTTGAACTCCGTTTTGTACAACTTGATTGTGTAACATACGTATTTTGTGACTAGCAAGAGAACTTGCAAAATTAAAGCAATATCATGGGGAAGTTATGAATTTTGCTTAAAATGCCCAATTGTTTGTGGCAGGAAAGAGCACAAACTACACCATTTAAAATGTTTAAAACCTATGCTTAGTATCAGAAATCAAAAATCGAATTTGAGGGCTGGGCAGTGGTGGTGCACACCTGTAATCCCAGCACTCAGGAGGCAGAGGCAGGGGGATTTCTGTGGGTTTGAATCCAGTCTGATCTACAAAGTAAGTTCTAGGACAGTCAGAGCTGTTACACAGAGAACCCCTGTCTCAAAAATACAGAAACAAGATTGAATTTGATGAGGTGGGGAGTAGCTGCCTTCTCATTCCAATGAAATTTATTTATTGATGCTGCGTAGGAATAGCATGATATTCATCTGCCCATTGTGTCTCCTTCACATAGTCTGAACAGAATCCAGGGAGTTAGGCTTTGGCTAGACATGGTAGAAATCTATTTTTTTAATTTAGACATGAATTTTTAAGGATCAAGTAGGTTGAACAGCAAGCTTTGGATGCTGATCCTTTCATTCCTTACCCCATAAACCTGCAGGTATGCTGTATATACGTAGCATCAAGATCAAAGGCAATTTCATTTGTGTTAAGGCTGAACCATGCTCTTGCCTCCGCGGCGAGTGAGATGCTCAAACTGCTTTGTCATTTGGTTGGTGAAAGAACTAAATTAACCAGAATCTCAAGGATTTAGAAGAAAAAAAAAGTTGAAAAGCCCAGAAGCTCACAGCAAACTTAGCTGTGTCAATATCTTTGCATGACTCATTTAAATTAACTTTTCAAGTGGAGCAGTCTGGGAAACGAAATCAGCTCTCGGTAACGTTCTGAATACCTGCCCAAATGTCACAACTTTTATTAATAATGCCTAAGACTCACAGAGTCTTTTACAGTTTGCAGAGTGCTTCTAACACATTATATCACATGATCACCAAGATAAGCCTCTTCATTTGCTAGGACTAAATCCTTGCTGTCTGAGTCCAAATCCAATACTCCTTAACTTTATTTTAATTTTGGAAAATCTCATACATATATACAATGTACTTGATCAGATCCACCCCCACTCCCTTCTTCTTACTCACCCTGTTCTCCACCAACACATCCATTCCTAACTCTCTCTCTCTCTCTCTCTCTCTCTTTCTCTCTCTCTCTCTCTCTCTCTCACACACACACACGCACGCACGCACACACACACACACACACACACACACACACACCATTGAGTCCAATTAGTGATTCGCACCTGGGTCTTCCACTGGGATGACCACCATCCACCCAAAGAGAAGGGATAGGACCTCCTGCCCAGTCCCTGCTGGAATTTTTAAGAGGATTGATCGCCTGTGTGTAATCACAGCTGCTGTGAGTTATTTGCCACCATCATGTCATATTCAGAGGACAGCATTTCACAGCCCTCCTCCCCATCTTCTGGCACGTACCCCCTTTCTGCCCCCACTTCTTCAATGTTGCCGGAGCCTTGGGGCAGATCAGGGATAGGGCTCAAAAGTCAACCTTGTGCCCTCCACAGGCATTACCGAGTTTCTAGGCAGGCTCCAGGAGATTCATCAGAGGCCTATAATAGAGGCTTTTTCTGGAGATAATGAACCTGTTCCGTGTGGAGTAAAAACAAAACAACAATTCAGTGAACTTTCGTAAGCTCAGCCCTGACAGAACAGCAAGAGGAAGGCTGCAAGATAATCCTGCCAGAAAGAAGCCAACTGTTCCCAAAGAAAACAGGCTGCTTTCTCTTTGCTTAGTGAAATAGCTTGGTCTTCATGCAGCCATTTAGGGAGGCTGCCAAACGCTCTGCTAAAGCCCAGTTATACAAGTTGACATGCCTCTTTTCATGCTTCAATCACAGAGAACAGATCATAGATATTAAAACATGAAAGAAAAAAAACAGAAGGAAAAACAGGTTTGTGACAGTATCTCAGAAAGTGCAACAGAAAGACAAGAAAGAAAGAAAATCGAAGGACCTTTCATTGAGGTTCAAGATCCAACTAACACAGGTACCTCAAATTACACAGAGTCCAGGGAAACTAAGGAGAGGCTTTTTACCAGGGAAATAGTACGCTGTGATTTTCTAGAACTGGAGGGCAGGAGTAGCTGTAGTAACCTGCGCTGTGAACCAAAACCTTCATACCAAGATTATCATGGAGAGACATCAGAATGCTTGTAAAATCGGGCATCTTAAACGCTTTCAGAGCTGAGCATATCCAAAGGGTGAAGAATCAACATGACATCGGTTACCTCACTGGAAACCCAACACTTAGAACTCATGGAAATAAGCCTATTAAGAAGAAAGAGTGCTTGCAACCTAGCATTCTACACCAAGCCAAACCATTCTAGAATCATTCCAAGAGCCCCAAAATTTATTTACTTGCTGTCTGAGTTTGCTTCCTGTTGCTGTGATGGGGCACTTTGACAAAAAACAACTTGGGGAGGAAAGGCTCACATGTCCCTATCACAGTCTACCATCTAGGGAAGTCAGGGTAGAAACCTGGAGTCAGGAACTGAAGCAGAGGCCATGAAGGAATGGCAACTACTGACTCTCTCCTCGTGGCTTACTCAACCTTCTTTCTTTCTTTTTTCATTTCTTCTTTCTTTCTTCCTTCCTTTCTTTTCTTTTTTCTTTCTCTTTTTTCTTTCTTTCATTCTTTTTTCATTTCTTCTTTTCTCCTTCCTTCCTTCTTTTCCTTTCTTTCTTTCTTTCTTTCTTCCTCTCTTTCTTTCTTTGTATTTTTAACCTGACTGTAGTTTCCCATCCTTCCTCTCCTCCCAGCTCCCCTCCCCCACCCTCTTCACTCCTCCTTTAAGGCCAAGCCTCCCATGGATACCAACCAAGCAACGCATATCAAGTTGCAGTAAGACCAGGCACCTCCTCTTATATTAAGGCTGGACAGGCAACCCAGCATGGGGAAAACGGTCCCAAAAACCAGCAAAAGAGTCAGAGACAGCCCTCACCCCCAGTGTTAGGAGGCCCATAAGAAGATCAAGGCACACAATTGTAACATATGTGCAGGGGGCCTAAGTCAGTCCAATGTGGGCTCCCTGGTTGTCAGTAAAGTCTCTATGAGCGTCTGAGTTTTCTTGTAGTGCCCTTGACCCCTCTGGCTCTTAAAATCCTCTCCACCTATTTCCTCAGGATTCCCTGAGGTCCTCCTAATGTTTGCCTCAGCTTGCTTTCTTATGCCTCCCAGGAGGACTTACTTGCCCAGGGGTGACACCACCCACCATAGGCTGGATCCTTCCATAGCAATTAGTAACCAAGGAAATGCCCTACAGATTTGACTATATGCAATCTCATGGAGGCATTTTCTCAAGCAAGCATGGTGAGCCCGGAGCGTACACGTGAAAATGGAACTGATAGAGTCTGTGGTGCATTTGCTGCTTCTTCAGGAGGGATCAGAATTGCCGTAACTTGGAAATGAGATTAATAAAAGCAAATTACAAAATGAAAATAAGACAATAGTGACTGCAAATAAAGCAATATATGCATACATTGTTACACATGCATGAATGAATATGAAAGAAAAAGTAGTCATAGCACTTAGTGGATAGTCAAACTAGATATTCCCTGGCCCAACATATACACACACAAAATTGAATCACACTGACATTTTTATGCTGGCAAGCTGGGAACAATGCTGGCATGGTTGTGAGAACTCAAGCACTAATAACCAAAAATTGAGATATAAAAATGTTGACAGGATGAGAGAAAGCTAAGATGGAATGTGAGTAGGCTATCTTATTGTCTTCCATAGGCAAAAACTGGTTAATAACACCTAAAACTGAAATAGGAGCATAACCCTTCAAAGTAAGGATTCTTAAAAGAAAAAAAGGAGAACCATAGGATTCGTTGACCCACCCATGGATAAATATCAGAAGGAACCTTAGTCAGCACACCACAGAGATGATTGCACATCCATGTTTGCAGTAGCGCTATTCACAATAAAAGATACAGAACCAATCTAGTCCCCATCAACAGATGAATGAATGAGGAAAATGTGATATATGCACACACACACACACACACACACACACACACACGTAGATTTTTTGTTCAACTATGAAGAATAAAATTATGTCATTTGCAGGGGAAAAAAGGTGGGACGAGAAACCATCAGTTAAGAACAACAAACCATACTGCAAGCATAGTCCATATTTAAATAAATAAATCAATAAATATATGTATATCATAAAGATATACAAGAGACTATTGAGAAGAGGGCAGTCATGGGCTGGGCAAGAGCAACAAAGGAGTGTGACTGGAGGCTGAACACGAGCCAAGCACCTGATAGGCATGCGTGAAGCTGTCATAATGCAGGGCGTTATTGAGTATTATTCATTACTAAAATAGAAATTTTATAAGAATTGAAGCATGTGAAAAGAGAAATGATTGCTGGTTGACACACTAAGTCTTTTGGGACTGGACTTCTAAAACACGCACCTTGAAAATGGAAGTTCAGTGTTAGCCTATCTTTGGGTGGTCATCCGAAATATTCTGGGCTAGTTTTAGAAAGAGTCAAACCAGTCACCCTTGTACTGATGCAAACAATACAAACGGAACACTCCCCACATAGAGAACTCCGTGGGCTTTGTACTTTCAACTCAGGACGAGACTTCTGATTTGTTTGCCTGCCTACGCTTGCCTACGCTACCAGAATCGCCCAAGTTTGACTTTAATTTGCTTTTGGTTAACTTTGCAGTTACATATGCCATGTAAATTGGTTAATTTAGATCCACGGGGATCCCTGGAGGGAACTCTTTTATTTTATACTATGTGATTTGGGCTTTAAATACGGGAACATCAGGTACTGGGGCATATGAACGGGGACTTGAATTTTAACTGCTAGCATCAATTAGTGGAGCTCAAGGACAGGAGGCGGGTACTAGGAATGTAAGAGGGTGTGGAAAGCCCACTTACCCGTAACGTAGACTGAGCCGGTTGCAGTCGGGAAATATATGTATACACATGCATGTATATGAATGTAACAAGAGTTAATAAAAAGAAGTGCCATGGATTTGAAAGAGAGCAAGGAGGGGTGTGTAGAAGAGTATGGGAGGAAGAAAGGAAAGGGAAGGAGAGGAGAGGGGAGGGGAGGGGAGGGGAGGGGAGGGGAGGGGAGGGAAGGGGAAAATGCTATCATTATACTACGTTGCCCTCAAATCAAAGACATAATAAAACAAATGCAAGGATAGTAACACTGACACTCCCCACTTCCATGTTGATTATTAACTCAGCTCTGGAAGAGATGTCACCTGACCCTTCTATGTGTCTCCCTTACATGACATTTTTACAATAGAAGATGGGCCTAACAGCTCAGCTCTTGAGCTCAATTCGATAGAAAAAGATGAAGAAATTAGGTCAGATTGTAAAGCAAGCCTTTAGTTTCTCAGGATCTTTTTGTCCACCCCCCCCCCAATGGTTTATGACACTTAACAGGTAATATCAAGCCCCGTTTTTTTGATGTATTGTTGTCATAGATTTTTTTTCCCACTGGTGTTGAATGATGCACGATCCTAACCTATGTATCTAGTTGTACGAAAGTTTTACTTTCAGGGTCTGGATCTCATAAATGCATCATGACTCTATAGACACTGTTTAATTAAAATAGCCCTTTAGACTTCCCCACCAGTTGAGGATCTCTGGGCCTCACTCCAGCAGAAATGACTTCAGTAAATCCAGCTTGTAATCTCAGCATTTCGGAGGCTGAGGCTGGACCATCCCCTCACATTCAGGATCAGCTTGTGCTACAACCGTTGGGACTGTCTCCAACAACCAAAACTTATAATAATAACAATATCTCTGTGTCTTGTTGGTTAGTCTAGATCCCCCTAAAGATTTTATGTAAACAACCCCACACACTAAAATTTCAAGACAATAAGATGCTAATTATCTTATTATCTATAAGACGTCAGGATGCTTGGCATGGATTTCCACAGATTTATCGGTTAAATAAACACAAGCCATGTGGGCAAGCATTCAGGAAAAGAATCTTTCTTGAAAAATGTAAAATAAATAAATAAATAGCCTTTGAAAACATAAAATCCCTCAGCTTCTGCTGTATGTCTTCCTAATTTTTTTCATGTCAGTTCCTGAATACTTCACTGAAGTATAATGTACAGGCAGAAAAAGAGTCCATTTCCTAGGGGAACTGAGCAGCCCTGTATAACTAGCATTCAGACAAACAAAATATGACTTCTCGGATACCTTTCTCGGTCCCTATCCCACAAGGGGTACTGCTACGCTAGCTTCTGACAGCATAGAAACTTTCCCTCACTTTGTGGAAAGTGTTCTGTTGAGTCTGGTTTATAGTACACGACATTAGTCACAGGAGGCCCATCCGTAGTGTCAGGCATAGTTACAGTGAACTGTTGCTATGTAGACACATTGCAGTATGTGACCATGTTACAAGACAGCTATTTACACTGCTGTTGACAGATATGTGGACCTTTCCAGCTTTAGTTTAAAAGCCAAGATGTAGTGCCTACCTTTTGGTGAATGTATTTAAGCATACCTATTATATTTACCTGGGAAAGAATGTCTATATCATAATGTATACATTCTATACATTCAACTTCAAGAATACTGCCAGACAGTTTTTCAATGTCGTCATAGCAATTTTTTGTCCAATTCAATGATAATCTTAGAAAACAATATAATTGGGTTACTTTTTTTTCTTCACTGTGTTTTAAAATAAAGACTGATGGTTGTTATACAGTAGGGATGTGACCCATTTAGATGAGTTCGCCTCATGAAACAGAACTCTCTAAGTAATGAATCATAATACAAGGTTTTCTATAAAGAAATTGGAGCAAATGCTTGGCCAATGTACTTAGCGTTCTTTGCACGCTCGCAGCAAAAGAATAAATATACCAAACTCTGCATGGAAAAGTAAGTACAGGTGATTTCTCAAATGGACAGCTCAGAAGTTCTTCCAGCCACTGCCGTAAAGCAGTCAGAAAAATTGCCAGGGGAGGTTGTGATCAAAAGACCATCGACTGAAGACACTTTCTCAACCTCCCCACCGTGGTTGAACTTCTATACCTGACACTCAGCTATCTCATCTACCGAGCAAGGCTTTTAATTCACGCTTTGGTTGTAAGGATCGCATCCCAATGCTTTCTGTTTTCTACCCCAGGAATGGTTCTATAGTGTAGACAAGTCTAACTAAATAAACCCTCTTTTCATTTTGTTGTATTTTCTGCTCTCTTTTGTGCCCCTCTGTGCCGTGTGCAGTGTGTTTGGCGTAGCTATGCAGCTGATGAGAAGTCTGTTTCCATTGCAACCTGGAAGCCGCATCTGAAGGCCCTGCACACCTGCAGCCCTACCAAGTAGGTATCGGGGGAGAGGTGGTGCTAGAGTTGTTTCTTTTCTAGTTTGTTAAACAATACCATATATGTGCAGGAACGTCCTGGTTTGGGCCTTGTTTTATTCTCTCTGTTGCTCTTAAAGATACCTAGCCCAATTTAACAGCAACTCAACCATATAACTACGTGGAATTGGCATCATTCCTTACCAACCATAGGCCATGACTGAAGTCTGAAAGACTTCATTGTGTAGAGATATGGTAGTTTTCTAATGTCCCCTCGTAAAACCATAGTTCTTGATAAGCAAGGATCACCTGACACATCACCTAATTTTACAGGGAGATTACTTGGAAAGTAATATATATGTGCATCGTAGTTCTCATCTTTAGGAAATTTCTAGATAAATGAAAAAGAGGAAGACTAGTTAGAAAGCTAATAGACAGTGGTCTACTACCATATTCAATTATCTGACTTCCCTCTTAAGAGCAGTTTTGGATTGAAAGTTATTCCGAGGTCTGGAAAAATTAATAATGAGTCAAATTCTCTAAGTACCTCACCTAGCACGTTATTCATATACTACTTTCCTCTCATTTTCCCTGTTTTAACTGGGGTGGAGGTGGAGGAGGGTTGAGTGAAACAAGTGCCTCCTCCTGTACCCTTGAGCCCATCAGCCATGCCTTCGCTCACCTCTCCTGCAACCTCATGTCTCAGCCCCACTCACTGAAAACAGTGACTCAGCAGGACACAGCAGTCATTGGTACCATCAGGGAACCTGCGGTCCTGACCCAAATCACTCCAGAGATACCTCATGGCTCTGGTGGCTCATAACCATTGTTGTTATTACTGTTGCTCTTTGTTAGATCAGTGAAAAGTGATGGAAATGGTGGCCTTTTCCCAAGAGTAACACCCTACGCACAAAGAAGAAAAAACCCCAACGCTGCCTATAATTTTAATATGTCCTCAGAGGCCTGAAGCCAAGTTCAGAACCTTTGCTCAAAGCAAACCTACTTCAGTAAAGTTTGTGAGAAGAATTTTCAATGAGCTAGAGAATAACTTTACTTAAAATTGACAAGCTTACTGAATGCAGGGTGAAATAATAGAAAAGACTAAAATTTCTTTTAATTTCCATGGTCTATTTCTCCATAGCATTCAGATTGCAATGGCTCTCTCTGGAAGAGAAAGAACATTCACTCATCTGCACATCCATTCTGCCAGTGCTCACTGAATCCTTACTATGCGCAGGGTTGAGTTTCTGAGAGAAAGCAGGAAGCAGCCAGAGAATGTGAAATCAGTTTAAGTCTCTTGGTTCAGGAACTAGACAGTCAAAGAATGCTGAGAGTAGACAGTAAATGGAAATATTCTAAAACATAAGTAAGTTCTAAGGAGAACTGTAAATAGAAAAGCAAGTTAAGGCTCATGGGGTCGGCAGTGTTAAAGAAATAACCATTGTCAACCTCATTGTCCCCACTACCAGTGCCATCATTGTCAATAAATAACACCTGACTGGGCTCTGGTTCCCCAGCATTCTGAGATGAGCTTGCTGCTTTCACTCCCCAAGCCCATCTCAATGGGTAGAATAAAAGCTCGGTCTCAGAAAGACTCTTGGAGTCTGGAAGATGTAGGGAATTGGCACCCTGAACCCTTGTCACACTTTCCATGCTTAGAATGGAGCCGTTCCTTTCTCGTTCCAGGCCACGGTGTTCCTTTTATGTACAATAGACATGAGATTTGAGCCATCTCTATTTCACAGCTCTGGTTTAGTGAGAGGAGGCAAGTATTTTTTTCTGCTCTTTCCTCTCAAAATGAGCGAAGGCTCTGCAAAGGTTGAAGCCCAGCTAAATGAGGTATCTCAAGGAATGAGTCAGAAGCTGTGGGCAATTACCAAGCTGCAGGGTTGCCATGAGGTGTTCTGAGGAGCCACAGGTCAGTCAGTCTCTGATATAATGCCTTCCCATTTAACACTGGGACCCAGAAGAAAGTGAGTTCAAGGTCCACAATTCATTTGCAAATGAGCCACCCTCCACCAGGCTCCCAATGCCCAACCCTGCTCAAATGAGTGATTTCCAGTGCCACCCAATGGTGGGATGTTAAGACTTAGATAGATTTTTCGATTCACCTTTTTTACTCCAAGGAATTCAATTCTTCATAGAATCTGTCTCAGAAAGTGACGGATAAGACAAGAGAATAGTCATCGATCAATGCCTGCAGGTCTAGATGCCAAAAGTCTGCCCAAGACACTGGAATCAGCAACTCTCCGAGAGCCTTTGCCAAAGCTTTCACCAGAACCACTGCTTCTTAACCAAACAGTGTGTGGTATTCTGCTGTGTGTGGGCAGGAATGGCCTTGCCAAGTAATGTTGTGCTGTCTCAGATCTGCCACAAAGAACATATGTTTGAAAGCTGTGTGCAGTTCTTATAAATAGCATTGCTTCTATGGACTGTACTTAAGAAAGGTGACTTAAGGTACCTGATTTCCCCTGTCTCCCGTTCGGGGGCCATTATCAAATGCTGTAAATGTATTCACTGGTTTATCGTCATTTCTCTTCTGTCTGCGCGCACCTGAAGGAAAGAACAAGGGGAGGCGTCCAGCAGGTTTGTGATTTCTCTTTCGCTCCATGTTGTTTATAAATCAGATGCCTCGCAGATGTTTTAAATGTGCCTCGTGGGTAAAATTGATCAACAAATACGGCCCGATTAAAAGTGACCTTTCACAAGATTGCCTGCAAAGTTTACTGGGTTTTATTGATTTTTCCCCCCTCCTTGGGAATAGAAGTATCTTTCCCTAACCCACTCAGTGCTTCTGAACAATCTAGAAGGCCTAGAACGTTCAGGGGCATAATAACCACAGACTTTGACTGTTCCTGCCTGCCACTGTCCCAAACAAAAGTCCTTCCAAACTATTCAAATGCAGTTATTGAAAGACCTAACAGGAGAAAAAAAATTAATGGTTGTGAATGTTGCTAGCATGGGCAGCAGTCTAAAATAGACTTTCCTATATAGGGTGCTTGCCTTGTGATCAGATATTTGTCTTTTCTTTTTCTATTTTTGTATTTGGCCAAAGGTAAACTAGAGACAAGAGATAAGAACTGTCTGTGTGGGATATTTCCAGCCCAGAGAGCAGTAACATTGACTTGGGTTATCAGTTCCACAGAAGAGGCCTCATCTTCAGGGGGAAGGCAGCCCTTCCACAACTTCCCCAGATGACTGGCAGCTGCTCCTCTGGAAAGACTCAGAGGAAATAGAAGTCAAGAGAGAAAACTTTCATCTATGGATTAAGTACCCGGAATGGTCTAGATTTTCAAGTGAAGCCTGAAAGCCTGGGGGCAGGAAGTTGCCACATTGAAGTATAAGTAGTAACAGACAGAACCAATAAGAAATGTGAGAAGCCTGGAAAAGGAAGAACATAAAGGTTTATGGGTTTGCTTTTTGCTTGAGTTGTTTTGGTTTTTCCCCATCATCGCCATTTGCTTCAGTAAAAAGAAAACAAGGTATCCTGCTACCCTGAGATAGCTGCTAGTGAGGGTCTATAATGGCATCAACTATAAAATATAGACACAGTACTGAATTAGTTCTCAAGCTTCCTTTAGAGTGATATGACACTATTCGCTATTTCTGCATTATTACTATAAAAAAAAGAAGCAAAGAAAAGGATTCCCTGACCCAGACCATAACTCACTTGCCTTCATCCATGGCAGGTGCTGGATACAGTACAAGACACAACCTTAAGTTCTCCCTTGGGGCAAGTGAGCCAATGCATTCAGGGCCCTCTTTTACTTCAGAATGATAAGAGTTAGAACAAAGAATGCTAGATATTCATAAGTGATGATCTCCAGAAAGTTTTAGCTACCCAAAGAGTTCTCTTTAAGAGACACCTCTTACCAGAGAACATTAGTCTTTAGTCTTTAGACCAAGCACCATTCTTGCACACACCTGAATGTCAAATTGGCCAACTCTGACCATTAGGCCGCTTCCCATATTCAACACAGACCACAGCATCTTCCGTCGTCACTACTAACCTGGGAAACAGTTACACAAGACAGTTTCTCACCATTACAAGTTACGTTTTGCTCTTCTTAGAGATATTTAAAGGGCTTCATTTCACCGCTTTCTATCTACAATTTACCCAAAGAGTAATTTCTCTACCAAGTCTTGGAGCAGAAACTCTTCTTGGCATGGGTTACAGAACTTCTGGTGGTAGGTTTACCTTTCTTGCTTCCATCCTCCATAATGGAACTTTGACAACCAAAGGAGAAATTATAGATCATGAATCTATGCTTGAGTAAACATAACATGACCTCTCTGGCAATCCAATCATAACACCACCAAAGCTCCATTTCCCCAGTGTTAGTATATCAGAGAACAAAGACGAATTCCAAGCTGAGCTTCTGCTCAAGATCAGAAAATGAAACTTCAACTCAGCTATCACAACTCAAAAGCACTTAGCAATCAAATCTCTCAAATTTCATGCGATCCTGTTGTATCTAAAAATGTTAAAATTTATTCAATACACGTGTGACTAAGGTTGTTAAAGAGAGTTCACTTGTAGACTTGAAAGTGTGCAAAGCTCTCACCTGGGTTCATGACTTAGAGAATGATGCTTAAAAATTCTTCACTTCTCAACAGTCATTGAACACTTAACAAAACAACTTTGAAACCGTACCTATGCCACCGCTTCATTTCCCAAGCCTCCAACAAGCCAGTCTCTTGCTCCCCAATTACTTACTGTATCTCCCGTAAAGGGGATAACAGAGAAGATACTGAATAAATTAATCTTGCTTGGAAGAATAAAATGTCCCTGACCCCAAGTACTTTTTACAATACACAACCAAAAGGAATAGCAGAGAAATAAATAGAAAGAGATAATGTTAGTAATTACAATTATTGCAGTGGGACTAGAGAGATGGTGCAATAGTTGTGGAGGGCCACATTCAGTTCCCAGCATCCATGTCAGGGACCCTCATACCTGTAATTGCAGTTCCAAGGGATTCTCCACATTCTTTTTCGGTCTCTGTAGTCACTGTACTTAAAGTTCACATACCCACACATAGACACACAGAGAGAGAGTTAAAAATAATCATTAATGGAGCTGGAGAGGTGGCTCAGAGGTTAAGAGCACTGGCTGCTCTTCTTGAAGACCTGAGTTCAATTCCCAGCAACCACATGGTGGTTCACAACCATCGATAATGATATTATCCCCTTCGTCTGGCATGCAGGCATACATGTAGACAGAACATTGCATACATAATAAATAAATATTTAAAATAATACTAATAATAGTCATTAAAAAGAAGACACTGCAATAACCTGAAGGAAACAGTTGACATTTATTGTAAAAATTTATATGCATTGAAACTCCCGTTGTATTATTGCCTCAGCTTTTTCCTTGTGTTCCGTAGACAACAGGATTTATAATATCGTAGTGATGAACACAGAAAGACGATTGTAATGGCAATAACAACAACACCATCTTAAAAATAACAAATCTGTCTTTACTGAAACAAATTATGCACAACAGAAAATGAATTTATAATGAAGCTCTCTTTTAGAGAAGAGCAATTCTGGGTTCAGAATACTGCTAATTAATGCTTGACCTCTTTTCAAATGAATTAACTAATTGGTACCACCCAACTTCACTGCCTTTGTGGTCATCAGGGTATTGATGTGACTTAGATAAATAGAACAGACAAGTGTCAGCCCCAAAGCCTGGAATCTCCTATGTCCTTCCTCCTGGTGGTTTCCCTTCTGTTAAAAAAAAAAAAAAAAAAAAAACTTGGAGATGCCTTCAGCACTGCAGGCAGCACCTCACACGGGCAGCTGGCTCTGCCACTGAATAAGAGGACCAACCACAGAGGAGGAGACTAAACACAGCTTGCAAACGGATGGAGGGCAAAGCCATTCAAATCACCCTTGATTAATTATGTTCATTGCTTTGGGGTGTTCTTGTTGAAAGAAGTTCTACTTTCTACGAAGCTAAGATATGTTTTCAACAAAGCTCATCTATGACTTTGAGATCTAAGTGAAGCTTTTCATAAATATAGCTTAACTGGGTATTAATGAAAACAATGAATCTTTGGCTACCGTGGATACAGGGTCAGGTACCTCCCCTACTTGGACTATAATTTTATCTTCCTTGGCAAGGTTATTCCATTACACTTCTTCCCCCATCTTCTCACTAAAATGGTTTCAATAAAAAAATATACTGTGATAGGTTTATTGATTCTATTCTAATTAATCCTCTCTCTGAATAGCATTTCCAACTCATTTTTAAATGGGACAGTCCTCCCCTGAATGGTGTATGTTGTCATTTTCGGCCAAGAGAATTTGCCTGCGAACTCATCTGGCCATCTACCACCGTTCTATCTCTCCTCCCTTCTTCCTTGACTAGGTCATCATAGGGGCCAACAAATGGTTGCATTGATATAAGGAGGGTTTTATTTCTTCCTGCCGAGGCTTCTATCCCTACAAGAGCAGATGATACCAACGGAGAGTGAGGGGTTAATTGGAAATCTCCCTGCCTGTCCTGTCTTCTGGGTAAACAGAGGCAGACTGGTACCTGTTTCAATCAGAGCCTTATTTTCCATTGATAAAGCATCCCTAAAGCCTCTTCAGCCTTCTACAACAGCCGACTGTCTAAGCTTGCTTTGGCAAGCTCCCATGAAGCTGAATGAAGATGCATGTCACACATGCGAAGGTGGCACTGTCTTATGACATTGCACTCGGGTAGTGTCCTTTGTTGAGTGGTCCGTTGAACCACTACAGTGTGTTAGATCCAGTTGTGTGGCTCCTGGGAAATATCTCTAGAACGCTTGTGAAAGAGACTGTGGGTCCTTACATTTCTTCGCATTTATTTTTCTTCTACTTGCTTTTCTTTTGTGTACAGGGAATGACCTACACATATTGTTAAAGTAAACTCAGTGAGACTAGACTCCACTTTTTTCCCCAGGATAATCAACTCTGGTCCTCACTAGCAAAGTATTAGAGGGTTTAAAAATCCTCTTTCCATCTGTTCACATTATTTATAGGAGGGAAGGATTTACTCTTTTATATATAGCCAAGGACTTACTAAATAAGCGATGTTTCTGTATTTACAAACTGGTCATCAGAACCCTTTCTTCTGATTACCTTTGGCCAGGTATTCAACCTGACAACCATTTACCTATACTAACTCTAACTTCAGTTTCACACAAACCAGGAACTTGTGTGTGTGTGTGTGTGTGTGTGTGTGTGTGTTTGCATGTGTGTGTGGTTTTAACTCCAGACCAATTAATGTTATCTACTCCGTTGATTTGTGAAAATAGCCGTCCTTAAATTTCCTGAAATATTTGATTCTCCATTATGTATGCTATATTCACTGATACTTATTACAGAAGTTACTGAGCTCTCCTATATTTATTTGCCCATTTCATGTGAAATATATCCTAACACATACTACAATCATTTGTAATGCTTGTTTCCGACCTAATTGTTTCAGCCTAACCATAAGAGCCTTTGCTGTGTCTCAGGCAGCACAATTGAACTGCAGATTACTGCTTTCCTGCTCTGTCTTCTCTTGTACATATATATGAAAAAAAAAAAAGTAAAATCGGATGGCTTATCTTTAGACAAAGAAAGCCCTCATTTCTGTGCTGTCGGAGAGACACATAGTAATGCGCTGCTCTATTTCCCTCACTCCTAGTAAGTTCTGTAATAATAAGCAGAAGTTCTTCAGAGTGTACACCTCACGGAAGCAGAGGTACCCAGCATCCCAGCTGTTGACATGAGATTTGAGAATGCCAACTAACCTCAGGTGCATGACCAGGTTACGCCACTACACCTGGGCCCTGTTTACAGACTCACTCTCCTAGGGACTTCTTGGATGAGGTTTTCAGCGCGCTTGTAATTTTCCTTGTTGCCTGTTGCCTGCTTTAATACTCTACCACTGGGACAAAAGGGGAAAACAAAAAACAAAAAAATGCAGGCATAGTACTGGCAGTCAGCCTGTTGGCGCCCTCTAGTGGCTGGACAACCGCTAAGCTGTTTGCACGCGCTGGTTTGTTAATGGCTGGGTTGACATATTGTGCCTGAGGAGACAGTTTGTAGAGTGCTTAGCCTGTGAAGGGCTAAAGCCCTAATTATGTATAACAATAGCGGAGGCTTTGTAAACCCTAGAGGATTACTGCGGAGGTGTGATGCCACAAGATTCCCTGGCAGGGAGCTTCTAACAATGGCGTGCATGCTGGGCCAACAGAGTGATTTGGACTTCTGGTTCTAGAGAAGGATGAATTCCCTTACAGAGCAATTGCGCGGGCTCCCTTGAGCGTGGTGCTCAGCTGGGAACTTGGGATTGCGTCCTAAGATGCCCCAATCAATGACCATCACGACCTTTTGCTTCCTTTCTCCAAAGAGAGATTTACTTGCTCTCCTGGGGATCATCCTTGGCATGCTTCCTGAAAAGGCTGTGACAGAAAACCTTCCTCAAAAATCATCTTTATAAATGTCAACAAAAAAAAAAAAAAAACCAAGAAAGTAATGGAAACTTTTACGCAGCAGTAGAGTGTCTATAATTTTAATTGATGTGTATTTTCAGTAACAGCTATCTAATCTAATCAGTTTACTGGTCATCTAATCAAGATGCTCGGTTGATTTCCGAAGGAGAAATAGAACAGCAAATAAAGAAAACTTTCCATTATTAGGGGATACCAACAAAACTTTTCCTTGGGAAAAAATTCGATCTGGATTAGGCTGCTGCTCTAAACTTTCGGATTCTTAAAGATAAAAGAAAGCATTGCATTGTCTCTATTTTAGATTGCAAATTGTTGAATTTAATTTAGACTTTCGTCTTGGTTTAGTTTGATTTGGTTTGGCTTTGCTCTGGTTTGGCTTAGATCTTTTTGAGACAAAGGTACCCTACATAACCCTGGTTGGCCTGGACTTGCTATGAAAATGGGCTAGCCTGGAATTCCGACAGTCTCTGCCACACAAGTGCTGAGATTAAAGCAAGAGCCAGCACACATGAAATTAAATATCTTTTTCATGTTCTTTTCTGACCTTTGAACACTGGGCATGCACAGGGTACACAGACGCATAGACAGACAAAACACCCGAACGTACAAAATAAATTAAATTTAAAGAAAACCAAAAAGGAAATGGTGCCTAGAATTAATTTATATCAATCTTAATGTGCTGAGATTTAGAGATTATCCTCCCACTTTCCACTTATGTTTAGAGGTGTCCTTAATACATTTTATAGGAGCAATATCTAAACATTCTTGTCATCATAAATCAGGTAAATTTGATGCTGTTTTATTTTAGAAATTTTCTACCCTTTTTAAATTGAAGTTCTTAAAAAAGGATAAAATAGAATCTACGTTGGGTTTTTTTTTTTTCAGTTTCTTGTTCATTTAGTTGAGATAGGAAAGAGGTTCGTTCAACTTGAGAGCCGGAGAAAAATCACTTTCCAGCTTCTAAACTCAACCTTCTATGTAATTAGCAGTTCCAGAAAGGTTAAAGACAAGATCAAACACAGTGAGACACTGAAGTGGTGGCTGTGTCTCCCTGAGGCAGCCATTCATCAAAATAAAGTTGCAGAAGTGAGCGAATGTCTTCTGAACTAGATCGTCATAAATTTAAATTATGGTACAGATGCCCTGAATTTAAGAAAAAGGATTGGAAATTTTTATAATTAAAAACTTTTCAAAGGAGAGTAAACATTTTTGACCTAACTTTGACAGATTTCTCTAAATAGCAAGAGTATAAATCTATGTGGTCTTAGGATGTTTTCTGTTGCGTTGTTTAATGTAATCTCTCATTTAATCATACATTTGTCGAGTACAGATAAACCCTGTGACTGATGGGGCTGTCGTACAGATCTCTTGAACTTACGTAACCTCATCACAAAACTGCCCAGCCTGCATGTGCCTTCAGCTGGTTATGCTGGAAGTGGCTGTGTCTGCATTGGGGACAGGAGATGTCGGTTGCATGGTCAACTCCGTTAGTGTTAACCAAACTCTCTGGCCACCATTGTTCATGACATGATGTGTTTTCATGTGAGCAAATTCACACCAAACATGGTACCTTTTTTAGAACACCAGATGTTAAGCAACTAGGCATGGAAAGACAATGTTACTATCTCTTGTTAGCTGCCAAACACATATCCACTAAACACATTTGCTGTTGGCATGCTGCAGCTGGGGACAGTGGACAATGCGGTAAGTGGAAGAGACAAGGCCTTCACTTGGTCTCAAACGGTCCTCCTCCATAAGCACGCTGCCTTCATCCCCCACAAAGGCTGCGGCATGACTCACCAAGAGCTGGGCTAGGCGACTCACCCTCCAATCCATTGCCCCATTATTTCTTTAGTGTCTGAGGAGCCCTGGGCCCCTCACCTTGATAACAATGTGCTGCTTTCTCATGAAGAGCACAGCGCTTTATAAATGAAACAAGAACATAAAATCGGGGCATGCAACACTCTCTGCAGTTCCTACGGTGACTCTAAAACCCCCTTAGGTATGCTATTCTTGTCTTCACGTGAGTCAGAGAACTCGGCAGCCCATGTCTGTAGGATTCCTACCTGCTCCTCCTAAAACATCACACAAGACACATGCCTGAACCACGAAAGGATGAAGATGCATTTGGGGTTTTGTTGTTAATACATCCTCGATCAGCCCGCGGCAGCTCGATCCTACCTCGCATCAGAGAACAGAATGTTTAAACAAACGTGATTTTACCAGTAGCTGCCACAGCAAATCAATAGCTTGTTTCATAGCAGGAAATTGTGTTAGTGAACATTGCATCTCCTTCTGTCAGTCATCCCATTCATTACATGTTGAGGCTGTTCCACCCTGTGTGGTTTCTCTTCCCAAAAATAGAGAATGTTAATGTCAAGTGTTGCGTGTTTAATATGTGTGTGCAGTGCTGTCAATTGCTTCGAGATTGCATGAATTTATGGATATCATAATCTTGCCTGGGATATACAATGCATGCTGAATGTAGGTACATCTGTAATCATCATCCCTGTTTACCTGTAGAGATGCTTAGGAATTACAAAGAAAGAGCTCCCAGACAAACAAATTAAAAAAAAAAAAAAAACAAACAAACTCAGCAGTGGAAGGGAAAGCTACAATCACCCAACAGTTTTTAAGGTGAATTGCACACCCATTCTTGATTATATTCAGTGAAATTGGGTACACACTGCTGTACCTGGTCTCTTTTCTTCCTATGTAAATCCAAGAAGCATGCATTTATCCATAATAGTGAAACTAATCCCAAGTGAATGCAAACACCACAATCAAATACAGTTAATTTCTTTTTTCTAAAAGGAAACTATCTATTTCTGTGCTCCTACTTGCTGAACACACTCTTGCCTATTGATGTGTATGACCTTCTAGAGTTCCCTCTGATAATTTGCCCATGTGGAACGGAAGGAAGTTTTGAGATGGGATAATCACGGCTCTGTTCTTCACAGTCAGAAGCTGAGTTTCAAGGAGCGAGTGCGCATGGCTAGCCCGAGGGGCCAGAGCATTAAGAGCAGACAAGCCTCGGTAGGTGACAGGAGGTCCCCGAGCACTGACATCACTGCTGAGGGCAGCCCCACCAAAGTGCAGAAGAGCTGGAGCTTCAACGACCGAACCCGATTCCGGCCCTCCCTACGCCTCAAGAGTTCGCAGCCGAAACCAGTGATAGACGGTAAGCCTGGTTTTCCTGACGGTGTAGGTCGTTAGGCTGTGGGGCGGCTGTGGAATAATTCATTCTCTGTGGTGGCATTGAAGGGAAGAGAAATTGTTTCTTTCTACTGCAAATGTATTCGTTGCCATGGGTGAATATCCAGAACATTAAGTTAGCTTTGAGAGGCAACTTTGACAGCTAAATTATCTCAGAGAAGGCAAGGAACTGAAAATATGGAACAAGGTTAGAATTTATCACGTGCAAGACCCTGGGTTCCATGCCTGGTACCACATTGTTTTAAGAGAAGGAAATGAACCATTTTGTTAATTCTTTGCCTCTTATCTAGACTATATTTATTTCAAGAGCACTGCAACCTCCTTGCTGGTGTAGGTGTTATGTGTGGCCAGCAGAGACCCAAAGTAGAAAGATGAGCAGGCCCATTGTGAGCATCCTGGAATGGGAGTGGCAGCAGCACCTTCCTAGGCGCAAGGAAAACTCTCTTCTCTCTTCTCCCATGAACCAGCTACCACAGACACATAGCCGCTCCCCATTATGAAGGGCTCCCGTGCAAAGCTCTGAGCCTCCTCGTGATAAATAAAAGTCTCTCCCAAGAGGAATTAACCTATTTTATCATCTCCCGTGGCAGAAGGTTTCTTGCCAACATTTTATTGAGTGACACATAATTTTCATGTTTATGAAATACTTTTTTTTTTCATTCAAAAATTAACTCGGTTTTCCTTTTAAGTGTGTTCCCTTGGGATCCCTTATGCTGGGCAAAGAACCAGAATCAAATAGCGCCTTCCATTAACGCATACAAACTGCAAAGGCCACCAAGCCTTATACTCTCATTCCCTAGCATAACCTGTGTTTTCCCAGGCCCTCAAAGCTCGGGGGACACGACGAACAACCAGGGGTCATAGCTGCAGTGACCACAGCTCCCTGCAGTGAACCCCTGGAACCTCTGCCTGCCAGCTCCTCCAGCTTCCTCAGAGACCTCCGTTCCCCTCTCAAGAGAGCAGCACAAGTCCTTGTTTCACGCATCCTCACTCCCCACACTCTTAACTAGTGTCATGTTCTCCGGATAGTCTCCTCGAGGCTGACCTGATATGGCCCTACCTGGCAGAGATTCGTCTCCCATCTCAGTGGCAAGGACATGCTGATCCTGCTGCGCTTGCTTTCACCTGTTGCTCTGCTAAGCTAGGAAATGCCTTGTCCTCCGGTGTTGTGCCCTCCTCATCAAGAATACTTGCAGCATCCTGAGTCACTGCTAACACAGTTTTCAGTGTCCTCCAGTTCCCTTCCCCTGCTCCCTAGGAGGAAATTCACAGACAGCCTAAGGGCAGCTAAGTCTACAGTGATGGGCAACAGGGAGATCGATGCCAATAGGAGCAGATGCATCCTTTGTGTAAGGTAGTTTGGCAAATAAATATCAAAGCCGTAGCATATGCCAAACACTAGACACATCCGTATATCAGCTCCGTCTCTAGACTATAACCTATGAACGAAGCAGTACCAGATGCTGGAAATGATTCTGACCGATGTGCAAGGGTGATCGCAGGCCAGATGTCATGATGCGTGCCTGTAATCTGAACACTTAGGAAGCCGAGACAGGATATCATGAGTTCAAGGACAGGCTGACCTACAGACCTACACAGACAGACCCACACCTATCATAATGTTTTTAGACATGTACATTTACATGTATGTTATATGCTGCATACACAGATATGTGTGTGTGTGTGTGTGTGTGTGTGTGTGTGTGTGTGTGTGTGTGAAAAAGTCTGAAAAACAAATGGGGCCACAAACACAGTTTCTTCATTTTCTTCACCTGTATTTCCCAGTACTTACTACAGTGAACATGTGAGACTTTTGTAATAAGAAATCCAAGGAGGACTTTTTAGTACATTAGAAAAAAATTTATCCCTTCCACTTACTGTCTCTCCCTCCCTTCTAATCTAACAGTCCTTGACCTATTGGGTACCAAAATTCTTACTTCAAGATATCCTTACTGAGCAGTGCAAGAAGTGCCTGGCTCTGCTGTGGCCCAGCATTCACTCAGTGCAGAGATCCTCCAAGGATGCTCGACAGCTGCAAACGCAGCTTCTTCCTTGAGTTGTCATAAAAAAATACCACCCACTGGACTTTAAACAGCAGAAATTCACCGTCTCAGAGTCTGGGACTACAAGTCTCAGCCTAAGGTGTTGGCAAAGGTGGTTCCTGCTAAGGACATCTTTCTTCATGGTGGTTCTGTCTAAACATAGTCTTTTCTCTCTACCTGTCTGTGTCCAAAAATTTCTTCTTTGTATAGTACATAGATCATATTTGATTGGGTCCCACCTTAATAACTTTATTTTAACTTAATCACTTCTTTAAATGCCCAGTCTGCAAGTATCGTAGCATTTAGAGTTACTGGGTGTAAGGATTTCAACACATGAATTGAAAGAGACACAGTTCAGCACCTTGGCAGATCCTGTGCTTATGTAACAGGTTCCCTGGCAGGCTCAGGGGTGTCCATTACTTCTGCCTTGACCCTGGCTTCACACTGTACTAAATATATAATTAGTACACATTGCAATGGACCCTTTTCCTGATAATGTGGGATTCAAAACCTGTCTTCGTTTCCTCTCCGTGAGGTCAGTATGGTTGGCTAAGCCCATTTAATTATAAAATTTGTAGAAACTGGATTTTGAACATAAAAAAAAATGAATTCTAGTGGTACTGTTTGACCAGAAGGAAGGACAGTTTCAAAGACTTACTGGAATTGGCACGACATAGCCTAGCATTTCTGTATCTCCAGACATATCTCAGAAGTCAGATAAAAAAGAGAAAAAGGGAGTTCTATTCTTCGCAGATTGGAAAGGTCTCATGTCCTACACTTTCTAGATCATTTCATACAAGTGCAATTCTGTTTGCTTAGAAAAGAATTACTTTCCCCTGGCTGAGCCCCATCTCAATTGATTCCGAACTCCCCAAGTGAAGACAGAACTGATTGCTGCCCTGTTGAAGTAGCTCTGAGGACTCCTCACTGGCAGGAGATGGGAGCTCCTGACTCCTCATTTAATAAAATAGCCAAGAGTCTTTACTTATGATTTATCTTGAAATTGGGTCTTGGAAATTTTTGAAGTACATTTTTCATAGAAAAAAAACTAAAGTAGCTATCAAGTAAATGTGGCCTTCAATTACATATATATATATATATATATATATATATATATATATAATCTTTAGTGTCTCTCCAGGTTATGAGTATATCTAAAACCCACTTCCTGCCCATAGAAAATAATACATAGCAACACTACAGCTGACTCGCAGTTAGCCAAGGTCTGTCCATTTGTTCACTTCTAGAGTGCTTTTCAGCTGCTCCTTTATATTTCATTGCTCATTAACATTCTCAAAGAGTGTGCGTGAATAGAAGGAAGAAGAATTGAAACCAGGTATGCCTGTGAGTTAATAACTAAAAGTTACATTTTATAAAAATCTCGTCCTTTCTAAATGGCAAAAGTTTATGGTGAGTCTCTAAATGCAAACAGTTCCTGATGAATCTGGTATAATGCAACAAATCATACACAGTTTATTAAACATCCACTTGTCTTCTTCAGTATGGTTTTAAGAAGATTAACATGTCATACTTAAGAAAGTCCCAAGTGTCTCCCAGTAACTCAAACTCGTGATTATCAAAGAAATGGCAAGGATCTGGCAGATATTGGATCTAGAAATGTACAAATGGCAAAATAAAGAAAATCAATTCTAAGGACTATGGAATGTATTCTTATAGCAGATATATTTTAAGTAAGGTGATCTAAATGATATCTTCTAATCTGATAAATCCTAGAATACCTGGCAGAAATGCCATGCTAGTAAATTAGTAGCATTTCTGTCTCTGAATAATTTTAGAATCCAGGTAGCATGAAAATTCTATTTTTATCATGAGAACATCGGATTATAATGATAACGGTAACTTCTGTTGACTCCTCTATGACATACATTGTTCTATTTGCTTTATCTCTATAAATGGACTACATTCCTGAGTTATGACGTAATTAACATTATTGTAACCGTTTCTTAGATGAGGAAACTGAGCTTTAAAAACAAGAAACTAGCCTGAGACCTAACAGGTATAAGGAAGGGCATAGCAGCACATGCCCAGGCAATCAAATTTCATGGTTCTAATGTACAGTCATAGCATAGCTGGGTTCCAGGTAGATTTGCTAATTCCTCCTTGTGCACCTTGAGCTTATTCTTTCTCTCCATTAGCTGGCCCTTACTTTCATCCTTCCACTTTGATTCAGGCCAAATTACCTCTGACAACAAGTCTGTTACTGTGTCACTGTTCTGTCCCCCTTTCTCAAAGTCCCAGCTGCTGCCACACACATGAACCAGCATGATTGATTTAACACGGTCTGCATTGCTTCTGATTAGGGGAAAATACTCTCCTGCTATGCAATACCCAAGGATACTGCACACTGCTAGGGGAGGTACTTCCAGTCTCACCAGATGCTCGTGAAAGTTTGACACCATCTAGGTGCAGGGGATAAGGCAGGTTCATGTTAGTGGAATCTCGGTAAATTAAAAATGATGAACACCTTCCAGATGCTGAATTCCCTTAAGTCCTGTTTATTTGTTCCTGCCACTATTGATATCTTTCCTCTTTTCTACCCATGTTCCTATCCCTCCTCAGCTAATGTACCGTCATGCTGTGTTTGGCTGTGGGCACAAATCAAGCATATCAGAATATCTTAAATAATAATGTGATTCATAATACAATCCCATTATAAAGGAGTTCGTAATAAGAAAGTTCAAAAACCCTAGCTTCACTTCTCTACAATTTTTGCTATCTTTCTTTTTACAAACATTTCTTTTGTGTAAATTTGCTGTACAAAGTGGTGGATTGCATAAGAAATTTCCGTTGACTGGTATGGTGGCATTCTTCTGTGATCCCAGCAGGGCAATCAGGTTTTCAAGGCTAGCCTCAGCTATGGAGTATGCCAGAACCCAGACGGGATTACATGAGCCACTGAGAC